GCGGGAAGGCGGCGCGCTCCGGCCTGCGCTGCACAGATGGGGGGCAGTCCCCCCCCAGGCGAGAGGCTGAGGGGGCCGCGCCGCAGCACGCTGTTCTCCTACCAAGCCAGCCCCCGCCTTCAGAGGAGGCCGGCTCCCGCCGGAACGCAGAGTTGGTACTGAAATGCCCACAGCCGCACCATACCTGTAAGAACACCCTCTAGTCGCTACAAAGAAAGGAATGATGGGAGAAAACAAAGCTGCTCCTTGGACAGTTGGGTTCTGATAAGAAGCCACATACTGAAGATGCCTCTTGCGTTTGTCAGTGAATGTTGTTTTTTTTCCCTGCTGTCCTCTCCGACCCCGGCCCCTCAGTCTAGCTACAGTAGTACTGCATCCTGTTAGTCCGCCGTCTTTTCCGCGACTGGAACTCTTCAAAGAAGTGCTGAATGTCTTCTCTTTTAACCACCTAGGGGAAGCAGTACGAAACCCAAGTTGCAGCGCAAGAATTCACTTCATCCCATTTTTGCTTCCCTTGCACACATCCCTCCCATAATACACAAGGCACATCAGCACAGGTATCCTGAGCTCCGGCACAGCTAGCCAACAGCTCTCCCCTCGGACCCAACGGAGACGGTTGATGCCCAGTCTCTATTACTAGAGACTACAGGGAGAAGAGCTCCCCAAAGGCAGAACAAGCACACGGAGCAAAGCTCCTGGTGGTATTTTTAATAGCTTTGGCTCCTTGCTTTTATCAACAGAAAAATTAACACAAGGCAAGATCTTTACTAGCTGAACATCACGCTCGTTACAATGTAACGAACAACGGCAACCTGGCAAATAAGCCGACAAATAACGGCACACAAGTTCCTCTAGGAGACAGCTGACAAGACTGTTGGCCAGTATGCAGTCAGTCCTTCTTCTTCTAAGTGTTTAAATTTAATCCAAGACAAACTATAAAGGTTAAAAGCTTTTTCCTGAATAATTTTCCTAGAGCAACCAAAGCTTCATTTACATTTAAGACCTGCTCTCGGTATTTTAGACTGATCTCTGTAAGATCTTACCTCTCAACAGTGTCATTACGGAAATACAACTTTTAAATTCCAATGAAATCAGGGATTTCTAATTTCTACTGCAGCACCAGCGACTCCAAGAGACACAAAAAAATACCATACTGCAGCATCACAGCACCCACCCCTCAGCAGTACTTTCAAACACACTTTCTGGCAAAGAGAGCCCGAGAGTGGCACCTTACCGTTCCCTCATCTGCAAATCTCCTGAGATAGTCAGTCAGTTCTGTCTTTAAGTCGTTGTACTCTGGATGGAGGAGCAAAGGCAAGGGGAAGAGAAAAGCCAAGAAGATACCCAGCTTTAGTTTAACACTGGCTCAAGACAACAACTTGTTCTACTTGTCATTTGTTAGATTTACTTCAGACAAACCTACCTTTGGACTGGATTATAAATAACAGAGAGGCAAGCCCAGGTAAACACAAGAAGCCTGACAGTTTATCAGAGCAGCCTGTGCAGCTGGAGGATCTGTTCAAGCTGACCTTCCGCAAAACGTAGCCAAGCTCGGTGAGTGAACTAGTACAACGAATGCACAGACTGCCCCTGCCCCCGGCTGCCCCCTGCAAAAGGACACGTGGATAGCGGTGGGAAGACCTAGCCTGTAACTCGGGGTTGGGCGAGTGTCCCTGCCCGAGTGCAAACCCCTCCCCCAGGAGAGGGAAACTCGGCTCCAGTTATAACGTATCTCGGCGCTGCCCTGTCACTGTACTCTGCGACAGAGCTGCCAGGGAGCTCCCTGCATCAGCTCCACGCTGGCCGGCACTGCCCTGGGCAACCGGAGACCGCCAGGGTAAGATTGAGATTGGATCTAAGAAGAAATTCTTCCTGGAGAGGGTGGTGAGGCACTGGAACAGGTTGCCCAGAGAAGCTGTGGATGCCCCATCCCTGGAAGTGTTCAAGGCCAGGCTGGATGAGACTTTGAGCAACCTGGTCTAGTGGAAGGTGTCCCTGCCCATGGCAGGGGGGGTGGAACTAGATGGTCTGTAAGGTCCCTTCCAACCCAAACCATTCTGTGAAGACCAGTAAGCCAGACAGCAGAAATGGAAATTATTATTTAAATATTCACGTTACAAGAAGTTACTGCCACTACAATAACCAAGATGTTAAATAGGGGAAAAGTTCCCACACCATCTAGTTCCCCCATGCAAGCTGAAGTTGTAACAACAGGCCAGAGAGGCCAGACTTGGCAGAGTAATCCTGACTGAGGTGTGCAATCTGTCTTGTGGCCTTCTACATGTTATGTCAGAACCAGTCTGATGCCAGGCTACAAGACCTGACGCTGCTAACCTCCTGTGGGAAGCTGTTCAGGTAAAGCGGTATGGCACGTTCTAAAAATGAAGCTGTATTTACCACAGATGAGTTCTACTTGCTGGACTCGGTTCATGCTGTTAAGGGTGTCCATTAAAGGATCTCTCCTCTCGGTTTCTTGGTCACTGGTACCTTTATTTTCATAAGCCAAGACGGTGTCACATTCATCTGTCAGGAACTGGACTTCGAGCTCTGAATACATTTTCTGGAGAACAAAGAGAACTGACTTTTATGTTACAGAACTTCCTAGATGGAGATGCTCTCCCCAGCCCTTTGTGTGTTCAGTACCACAAACCACAACAATAACGCTGTAGACAATGTATGCAGCATTTCAGTGACCTCCGCATAACGACTTCCGCAGCAACAATGCGTGGAAGCAGCAAAGAAAACACAAATGTTTAGAAGCTGCTTTGTGCTCTATTAATTCCAAAGGATTCCGTGTGTTTACATGGGGTGGAGGGGCCTTTTTAGGTGTTTATATGCAGAGTAAAAACATTCTATCTACAAGCTCCTCTTCAGAGATTCCGGGAGCTGCTCCCTGCCTCCCGTGTCAGTGGTGGTAAGGGAGACGGCACGTACCGAGCAGTCCTCGCAGGTGCACAGTTTGCTTCTCCAGTTCAAAGGCCAAAAGGTGGCAGTATCGTTTTTTAAAAACGGCTTGCTTTGGAGTTCTTTCAGCTTGCAGACTGGCTCCTCGCTCTTAGTAACTACCTGAATTAAAACAAGAGTGTTCAGCGCTCTGTAACGTCACTTCAAATACAGGCTGTTCTCTCCAGCGTGTCGCTGTCCTTATGCAAGAGTTCTCTCTTGTCCCAGACACGTTT